ACAGGGGGCAAACGAGCATGCTGCTCACCTGCTAGTAAGTGACTACCGCCGCCCATGATCATTAACAACATCAACGGTATTGCAGGCCTTTTAAAAAGGACTATGCTCTTTCCTTGAACATTATGATGTCGTATCGGTTCGAAAATACTTCTGCTGGAAGTTGATTCCAAAGACTGTTCCCTTAACCAAGATACGTCTATGAATCGGGATAAATAGTATCGTAGAGCAGCCTCTGTCCTTCATTATATCTGAACTAATATTATAAAAAGTTTTTTTTTTTTTATGTTTGAGTGTTTGTAATGGATAAACTCAATAATTGCTTAATCCTTTCAAGTATATAAAGTTACATTATCAGCGAATAACATGGACTGTATTTTAATGTAAATAAACACTTTTTTAAAAAAAAGCGTGCGAAGCCAGGGCAAAATTTTATGACTCTTAGTTGAACTATTAAAGAGCCATGAAATAATAAACAAACTTTTAAATATAAATAAACTTTTTCATATTTATAATATTATTAAGGGTTAAAAATATTTAAAGGAATAAATAAATTTACTTATTTAAAATCTCAAAACTAAATCTCATATTAGGAGAGGAATATGCCCATAACATTTTACCAAAGGAAGGTAAGTCTAATTAAAAAACACACACACAATTTAACGAATATTCAAAATAATTTCTTAATAATTATGTGCATTTAAAATAATCAGATCATGCAAAAATGTCTCTATGTAAATAAATATATATGATATATAATACAATATATATAATAGATATAATAAATATGTCTTTATCACAAATCGAATTCTGTGTTAATTGTAACGACGGGTACCGTGAGCCTACCAAATTATTTGCGGGGTGAGTGAGACCATTAATCGGATTTTCGGATCTGTTTAGTTTCAAACATAATAGGTACCTATGCGAATTGGTTATTATGATTAAATTAGAAATGATAATAATGAGTATTTTCATAATTTACTTTCTTACATTAACCTTCCTCATGAAATCAGACGTTAACTGTCCACTGCTTAACTTAGGCCTACCCCTATTGGAGGGTTTTGGCAGGCGGGTTAATAACAGCAGTTAGGATTTTTTGATATCCATCTTTCGACCAATAAATTCCCTTAGTCGTCTCTACGACAGTCACGGGAAAGAAAGGGATGGACCATTCTATGCCGGAACTACACAGCGTCCTACATTAATATCTTTTTATAATGATAAGAAACCAAATTGTGTAAATACTTGTATTATTATATCATCCCGAGGCGTCTCGTTTCCAATCCGTGAATGCAGGCGCGCTCTGAGCATAAATGCTGGGACCCGAAAGATGGTGAACTATGCCTGGTCAGGTCGAAGTCAGGGGAAACCCTGATGGAGGACCGTAGCGATTCTGACGTGCAAATCGATCGTCGGAACTGGGTATAGGGGCGAAAGACTAATCGAACCATCTAGTAGCTGGTTCCGTCCGAAGTTTCCCTCAGGATAGCTGGCGTCGATTTGGACCGTTTCATCCGGATAAAATACGCCATAAAATTTCAACAGCCTATTTGTGAAAATGTGTTCACTTGATCAATCTGAAAAATTTGCCTATGAATGGCAAATAATGAGGTCACATTACATTTGCGTAAAATTGCGTCGAGTCCTTCACAGTTGCGTCGAAATTTTAGAGTTTTGTAGATGTACTTATGTTACAGTATCTATGTAACATAAATACATCTACATATTGATAAATTTTTAAGACCGTTAAAATATTGTATTCAATTTCTCTCTTTTTTTAGTCAACTTAAAAAAAAAAAATTCTCAATTCGGTTGTATTTTTTTTCACTATGTCAGTTATAAACCGATTTGGGGAATTCTCCTTTTATCTAAAAGGATATATGTACAGATTATTCCCAGAGAAATTTTAACAAAATCTGTTCAGTAATTTAGTTTTTAAATAAATTATCAAATTTTGCCACAATTAAAGTCGGATTTTTGGGGAACACAATCTTAACTATACTATAATACTTTTTTATATTTTTACTCCTAAAGGTAGAACTTCAAAATCGTCTTACACGTGTACATTAGACGAATTATGGTAGTGAATAAAGCAAAAAATGTGGGAATATGTTCAAACAGGATCATTTCACACTCTGCCTACTTTGAGAAGATAGGCATATAGAACCAAAAAGTTACAAAACAGGTTGTTAAAATTTACATTAGGAAATAATGCTTTTTGGCTTTTAGGTCGTATCTTCTTGAAAGTTGCCGTAAGTACTTTACAAGTCATGAAATACTTATTTTGTCACTTTCCAGAACTGAACCCCTCTATATACAGGAACTTCGAATTGTATAAAACTTTTATACTTATTTAGAATACCTAAAATCTACAACAGAAATAACATACTAAATACTTCATTTAAGATTTAGTTCCAAAAAAGAAACCAATATGGGACTAACCAAAATATTCTTATATTAATAGTCTTTCGATTAAAAGGAATATATAGATAGATATACAGATACTCGTTATTATTTCCTCTAAAAGATCATCAAAATTTAATTAGAATTAATGGAAATATCGTATCAAATAAAAACACAAAAAATACGGTCAAATTATAAAACCATCTACTTTTGAAGTCACTTGAAAATAGATTAAAGCGTCAGGCATGAATTAATAAGGGCTCTTATTTGTATTTAACGCTTTCAACTTACTATTCTTTATTAAATCCTTACTAATATTATAAATGTGAAAATAAGTTTATATATTCTCATATCTACCTGCCTACCTGCCTTAACAGCTGAACTAATTAGTATGAAATTTGATATGGGATGGATAGATATAGGCTACATTTTATTCCGGTCTGTGAACATATCTCGGACGTGAGGATGTAGTCGCAAATAAAAGCTATTCATATAAAATAACTGCATTATGACATATTTCATATATGTGTAGTAGCGTAGTTATAAATTTATGTAAGAGGAACTTGTCGACAATCGGAAATCTCTATCTCACTTTCCAATTTGTCAATAAATCCCTCTCTAATTAGATTTAGCTCCATGACAAGCAAAATTTTGCTCCGTAAAGAAAAACCGTTGCCAAAATTTTGTCAATCTTGATATGGAATTGGCAGATTCTGTTCTAAATTGCAGCATGAAAATAAACCTTGTTTACAAAAAAAAAATATTGAAATCGCTTTAAAACACAATGCAATTACCTCACCAATAATTATGAGCAACGTAATCGCCTTTGTGTTTAAAAAACTCTCAGACCATTACAATACATATGAGTATAAAAGCGAGCATCTATTTCAGAATAATATATATTTAAAGCATGTGATAATCGGATATATTACCGACGCCGCGGTCCTTCGGGAGCACTGTTCTAGAAGACGTAATACGCTCATAGCGTAGAAAGAGGACACGCTACTTGTACGAGAAAATTATTTCTCCCGGGATCCCGTCGTAGGAATGAAAGGCTATCTTTATGGCTCGCCAAAATTTTATTATACTCGTATTAGGCCGAAATACACGCGGCTAGTTGTTAAATGAATTTCAAAAAGGGAAGTTTTCAATTCGTCTGAATTTTTGCAATTATCAGACAAAAATACGTCATTAATTGTAAACTTATTTTAGTAATTCTTTTTTGCAATCGCTAGAATTTATTCTCGTACTAGTATAATTTTAATTTTGTAAAAATTGAAGCTACCAACTCTTCTTCGTGGAGTAAAAACTGCCCGTTAAAAAGCAAAATCTGTTTAAAAACATGCAATATTTCCATTTTTGGGTGTCCACAAAACAAAATGTTGTAGCATATATACGAAATATCTTGTGCATTTACTATTAAATACACTATTTTGCTGAACAATGGCGCATACATGCAATTTGATTTATATGAGCAAGCCAGTGTCAAAATTTGTAAGTCCCATTTTTAAACTACAAGTACCAATTATTTTATATTTCTAGCTTGTATGCAAAATTGTGTGATAAATAAGGCTAGTATTCAATCAATTAATATGCAGTAACGATATATTTAATTTGTATCAGGACAGTGCATGTAATAACTTACTTGAAAAACTCATGTATCTCGGCCTTAAGTAGGCGACCTATATCTTATGTCGATTTATCGGAAACTTGTCATCAGCACTCAAATGTCGAGTCGATGATCATCCGTGCTTCAATTAGGATTCCGATCAGTTTTATAACATCGCAATCATATTGATATCGAGGAAAGTTTCATTATTTTTAATCTGTTTTCTCTTATTTTCAAGACATATATTACAAGCTTGTTATGTCTTTTTATCGAAAAAATACTAAAGTAAATTGGAAAGGTTTTTATATAATTTTATTATATATTTATTTTATTTTTGAACATAATAATTGCTAAGAATCTTTACATACCTTATATATATATATATATATATATATATATATATATATATATATATATATAAAAATATAAAAGATGATTGTGTATATATTATTTATGTTATTAAAATAATGATTTTAGATTGTAATCAATAATCTAAATTTAAACATGTTAAATTAAGTAATGACGATAATATTCTCAATAGATATGATTATTTTTATTTAATAATCTAGTGCTTATTCAATATAAGCCTTATGTGTTTATATTTTAGAGTTTAGAATGATACTAAGTTTGTTAAGAACAACCTGATATCAAAAAAATATTAAAAATTATATTTACTCAATACTGAAATAATGCTTGAACGTTTATTAATATCCCACTACTGGATTCTTAATAATTTACAAATACCCAGGGCAACATATGTGGCACAAGTAGTAATTACAAAATATATAAAAATGTGTTATTTTTTTAATAAACTATCTACTTCACACATCTTTGCGCGCAAATTTATTTAAATCGGTTCAGTGGTTTAGTTTTTAAATCAAATTAACTGATTTTGCTACAGTTAAAGTGGGTTTTTTGTCAATCTTAATTATATTATATAAAAATATATTATTTGTTGATAATTATTACACAGACGTATCTCTCTTTGCAGAACAGATCCCCTCCGCCATCGTACATCCCCTCTGCGCTGCTGTATGCTCCTCCGGAACCCTTAGAGGTAAGTCAAAAATGCTACCATATAACTCCAGCCCTTAACCAAATAGCAAACATATATATACTAAATAAATCTGAAGTATTTTTTTTTTTAGTTTGTCTATAATAAAAATGCACTAATATTCTTTTCAAATAACCTCATTAATAAAATATACTTTTATATTTATTTACAAGCTACATGAACCATTCATCTGTTACAATAAATTATATAAAAAAATAAAATATTATTTAAGAAATTTTGTTGAATTATATCTATCGTGACACGTGACGTATTGTAATTATTTATGTTGACTTTACTCATGTTTGGATATCCAACTAGTTTCAAACTCCTCTACATAGTCGTGAACCGCACGAACTCCTATTAAGTTCAAAACCAGTCGGACATCCTTAAATTTAAAACGAAAATTAATAAACCGATGTAAATAATTAGAATATAGATATGTTATTTTGTTTTAAAAATTATATCTCTGAACATTATTCCTTTACACACAATATTTTGTAAAATCTATTTTCTTAAATTGAATTTAAATTGCAGTTATGTAAATACTGGGACTTTACGCTAAGTAAATTCTGGATTTAAAGACTTAATAGTCTATGTAATAACAAATGCAATCAGTGTTAATTAAAACGCACATCGTAGCTGGGTGCATAATTTTATTATGCACTTACACTAACGCCAGTAATTAAGTTCACGCGTTGGGATCTTTACAACTGTATACACAAATCGAACACTTAGCAAACGGTTACTTATTACAAAAAAAATCTTACTTAACACGATTAAGTGATGGAGTAAATATTATTTTCTCCCGAAAACAATATTATGGAAAAATTATAACGATGAAAGAAAACGAACAGAACGAATTTATCGATCAGTAGTAATTTTAGCTTCTAAATCGCTCAGCAGCGGCATCAATATAGCTTGCTTGCTAATCGCTTTGAAGTGAAACACAAAACGTGTCAGAAATTAAGATTGTTACAAATATCTTGCAATTTTCGGTTATTGCAATACAGCCGCATAAGAGATGACAAAGCGAGCTTATGGTCGAGGGATGGGCAGCAGCATCTCCCTTAAAACATCATTAAATATTAAACTGCAGTTGCCAACCCACCTGCTAAACGTGGCAACTACTAGCAAAACCTCGTTAACTTGTTTACCATGTCACCGTGCAAGGAAATATCGTGTGCGATAATCACCGAACACTATTATTTCCTTCCCCGTCGGTTTTTGGTTGTCCGAGATACATGGTAAGACCAAGATCTTTCAATGTAACCGCATGGTTATGATCAGCATACCATAATTACAAACAGACTTGGGGGGAAAGGGATTGTTAGCAATGGAGTTCGACATTGCTAGCAATATCAGGTCGACCTCCACGTGGTTTCCCCTGGAAATCATCGTGAACAATTCTTGTTGAATTCGTCACGATGGGCTAACTGACCTGCTTCATCCTCATCTATCATTCCTCACTGGTGCCCCGCCGGTGTATACCGATAGCACGGGTGGGATTACCATTCCATTATCACCCATTAAAAAAAAATTACAAACAGACCATAATGCCGTCGACTAGCACCACGAACTATTATCATCGTGCCAGCCTTTTTTTGCCCACTGCTGAGCATAAGCCTCCTCCTTGGAGAGTTTTGCCAGTAGTTGCCACACTTGGCAGCGGATTGATAACCTCAGTTAGGCTATAAAGATGTTTTGAGAGGGACGCTGCTGCCCATCCCTCGCTCTCCCGTAGTCGCCTCTTATGACAATGACAGGAAAGGAAGTGGAGGCGTATTCTATACCGGGACCACACAGCCATACAAACTGTACTGATGTAAAAAACTTGTTTGAAACTCTTATTTCGAACTCTTTCCTCGAAAAGATATCGTGAATTGATCGTTTCAATCGTAGCTGAGACCTTACTTCTTCATCAGATACAGATACAAACCAGTACACTCGTTTGTCTTTTGTGAAAGCATAAAAAAATTATTAATTGGTCTGTACATTAATCATAAATCATTAACACCGATTGAACATCCGTCCAGTGTCCAATTCGATCCGTTGCCGAATACTGAATATCATATATCGTTCATGAAAGGTAATGTTTTACTCCTTTGAAGTTCCTTTATTTATAGGAATTATTCACACTTGTAATAACATAGATAACATTTTATCTGCATTTTTTATTTGCTATGCAGCAGGACTTCTTTATAATAATATACAAATTCAACCTTCATGAGGTTTTATTACATGTCGGTGAATAGAAACTAGAAACTTTTTACTTTCTTTTTATGCAACTTAGAATGGCAAACAAGCTGACGGTCCACCTGATAGAAAGTGATAACCGTCGCCTATAGACATGAGCAGTACCATGGACATAACAGAGTGAACTGTTTCGCCCATGATACCCCCCATGCTTTGCCATTCCTGAGGACTCAGGTGTTATTCCTCTGTACCCTGTAAATTCACGCCATATCCTACCCTTCAAACCGAAACACAGCCATGCAAACACAACTGCTTCACGGTTGAAACACGAATGGGACAGACGTACCCAAGCAATCGAATAATGTACCAATGTGTCATAATCTATCATAATTAAATTACTTGCATTAAATATTATTTTTCTTTACAATTTATGATAATAAAACTTTTATAATCAAATATAATACCTTATCTACAACAACGAAAAATTAAATGTAATGTGATTTAGATAAACTATTCCTAAATAAATAAATTAAGCAATTGTTTTGCAAATTCTGTACCAAACTTGATTTTCTTTTGTTTTTTTGCGATTGATAGGGTTTACTTCCCCGTACCAATTTAGTCACGTTCTCAACGAAAGTCAATGTTTTTGTGAAATAAAGTCTTAAATGGAGCTTGTTATGCAAAATTCTTATGTTGTTTTTTGCATAATTAATTCTGAATGGTTTTTTTTTTCTTATGATATATATAATGTAGTTTGTTATATTATTAGATAGTTAACATGGCACAATATCCAGAACTACAACCAATCAATGTTCTAACTCATGAACACCAATAAATAACTGATACCAATATATGGACATGCAGTGGTCAATCACTATCAACAAAGCGATCAACGGTTATCCTGATCCTGTACATATTTTAGCGTCGTTGTCAATAGCTGTAATTAAGGTCGACGTTAACCAACTGGCTATAATAAATAATACCACTGGAGATATTACACAGCATAATCTGTTTTAAATTTGCGACTTTAATTTAAGTTAAATTAAGATTAAAGCTCTAGAAAAAAAACATATGGAACAAGTGGCCTATAAGCAAAATAAGATTTAGAAACTATTAACTAGATAAATAAATACTATATTGTTTCCTCCAAAAGGTTACATTAGTAAATTTATTACAAATACAAACAATCACAAGAAAAAATAACACTGAGGAAATGACGGGTGGCTTTATCACTAAGAGCGATCTCTTCAAAGCCTTTTGAATAGAGAAAAATAATTATAAACAGTTTGACTGATTAGATCCACCGCTTATCAAAATGGCATAACCATAATCCGTTGGATAGTGATAACTATCGCCAATAGACTAATAGTACAATGAACTTGTACAAAGTTTTATTGTGCAATAAAGAATAAATAAAATAAATAAATAAATATCGCAGAATATACTCTATCTCCCATAATATCCCTCGTATATGTTACTCGTCCCGTTGAATAAAGTTTTATGTCTTTGACTGAAACATAGCTATGCTAGTATAGTTACTTGACGAGAGAAACACGAGTGGGATAAAGATACCGAAGCAGGTGACTTTTGTAGTCTCTTTCGGAGAAATCAGTAATTATCCTTCTTCTTTGATACTCGAATAAAATGATACTTGCAGAATATGATGAGAGGGCAAAATCAATGAATACCTATAAGCACACAAAACAAATATTCACCGTTAAACGACGCCTATTTTTATTTCGTCACAACCTCTCGTAGGGCCTAGCAACCCCACCTCACGTACATACGAACGAAATTGAATTTATCGCAAACTCAATTTCGATAACACGCCGTTGTAAAGTATATTTACATGGTAATCTTCAATGTGTTACTAACTACACTTTTATAACGTATTCCCACCAGACATTTGTGGAAGGTATTTGTACAAGTAGGTGCCTTATGTGCTTGTAAGCGTGCAAAAATATGGTAAAAAATTTTGTAAATCATTTGTAACAACGAGTTTACACAAGAAGTCTGTTGATTTCATTCGCTAGAGTCTAGTTTAGACTGCGATAGTGATTCTCGGCCATATGCCACCTCTTCTTTTTCCGTGGTTATAGTAAGAGGCGAATAAGGGAACTTGATGTTCGAGGAATGGGCAGCAGCGTCCCTCTTATGAGTAAAACATCAACAAAGCCTAACAGGGGTTGCTAATCCGCACGTCAAGTGTGGCAACTAGTGGCAAAACCGTTAAAGGGGAGATCTATGTTCAGCAGTGGATAATTAAGGTCTGACATGATGATGATGATTTCTAATGACGATTTTATGTAAGAAGTCTGTTGATTTCATTTCTAGCGAATGTTTGATTCAGACTGCAGTTGCAATTTAGTACAATAATAATATTTAAAATATTATTTCCAATTTTCCTTCGCTAAAGAACAATTAACTCGATCATGACAAAACTTTTATCGTAACAAAATGGTAGTAACGTTTATTGATTGCAAAAAAAAAGGTTAAAATTGGTTAAAAATATATGTGCATTGAAAATCTTCTTTTTGAAGTTATTTATAAATATATACTGTAATGAATTAAAATCGACTAAATATTGTTCAAATACGTTTAACAATTAAGTTAATCGCTATTCGTCTTAATTACTAACAGTCCTAACTGCAATCTTATATGATTAACCGTTGCGGTTATGCACCTAGATATTATCTATTTCCAATAATCTGGAATCTCCCAATCCTAATTAATTACTTACTCATGCTGGGTTTAATTGAAAGCTAATAGCTAGATAATATTCTAAATTTACACACAATAATGATGTGTCATGTACGCAAAACCATAGGTTACAGTTAATATACTTCTTTTTTATTTTTACCCCTATCAGAAATTGAACAACATAATAGCATGGCAAATTTTTGAGATTGCCACTCTGAAGAGCGAGATTCTACTATTGTTAAAACACTCAGACACAGCCAATGGAGTAATTTTTGACGTAATCGAATTCTAAATAAAATCATATTAAGTTGACGTTACCTAGCCTTAATTCGACGTCTTTTCTATTTGGTTCAAATTTGAATGAGTTAAAAGTAAGATTTTAAGTATACAATGTATGATTTTTTTACAGTTACTATGCGTGTTCCCGGAGCGGGCGTCGCGCGTTTGCGCGGCTGCCTCAGCGGCGGCGTCGCGGGTAGGCGGCGAGGCGCGTACAGTACGAGGGTTACGGGAAACGCTCGAGCTACTGCGACGCGACGTCGACCCGCGACTGCCGCACGTTGTTGTCATAGACGCGCGGCAACCGCAGTCGCTTGACGCAATCGCGCTCGCCAGGTCAGTGGAGGCACACCTTTTCTTCTTCATTCTGATGATTATGCACATAATATGAAGAATGATAGGTGAGGATGAAAGCAGGTCAGTTAAACCATCATGACGATAGTTTCCAGGGGAAACCGCATAGATGTTGACCTGGAGGGTTTGATAATCATTGCTTTAAATATAGGATAATTTATCATCATTCTCTCAACCATTATCTGTCAGAATCTTAGCCATTATCTAAGAATTCTTCCTTCCCCCTCATCTCCTTTGAGGACATATAATGTAAGCATAAGTAATGCTAAATGATTAGTATTTTTGTAACTATTTGCTTTTTACAATATATTATAATATACCTATAATGGGGGGAAAGGGATTGTTAGTAATGGAGACTCCCATTGCTAGCAATATACTCAACCAGGTCAACCTCCTCGCGGTTCTCCCTGGAAACTATCATGGTTAATTCCTGATGAATTCATCATGAAAGGCTAACTGACCTGTTTTCATTCTCATTGATCACCCTTCACTGGTGCTCCGTCAGCGTATCCCATTAGTGCAGGCGGGGTTACCATACCATTTTCACCCATCAAAAAAAAACCTATAGTCTGAACAATAATAAAATATTTTTTGTCATCGGTCACGTGGACAATATCGTAATTTTTTTTTTATACAACTTAGAATGGCAAACAAGCTGACAGCCCACCTGATGGAAAGTGGTAACCATCGCCTATAGACATGAGCAGTACCATGGACATAACAGAGTATACTGTTTCGCCAATGATACCCCCCATGCGTTGCCATTCCTGAGTACTCAGGTGTTATTCCTCTGTACCCAGTAAATTCACGCCATATCCCACCCTTCAAACCGAAACACAGCCATGCAAACACAACTGCTTCATGGTTGAAACACGAATGGGACAGAGGTACCCAAGCAATCGACAGCAAGCAACTTTTGTACAAAGTCTCCCTCTGGTATAATCCTAGTAGTAAGTAATTGTACCTACTTGTAAACCAACTAAAATTATTTTTTCAAATGCACAAAGATACAAATCAATGTAAATACACCTGAATGTAACGAGTTACAGAAATTGCGGTACTCATTAGAGAATTCAAATATTGGAATACCTAAGAGATGAAAATTCGTATTTGAATTTACTTGAAGCCAGGCTGTCGGGAATGTTTCGAAATATCACATTTTCATTCTCGTCACGTCGTTTTCATTTCTATAAAGTTAAATTGGACGGTGGACTGTATGCATATTGCAATTTCAAGTGCTTGTCCAGCTTGTAATTAACCTATACATTGAGTGGACGTGAGGGCTCTTCAGTCTATTCAAAGTAATTTTGAATACAGAATATGTACAGTCTGAAATCGAAATGTTTAACGTCCTTTTAAAGAAGCATTCTTCTAGTAAAATTAAGATTAAGAAACATAGAAATACAGTTCTTCAAGAAATGTATAAAAGTTTAATCTTCTATACCAACTTGACGTAGTAGCCCAACATAGAATGAGTCACCCCTTCCATTCTAAAAGAATTTAATGGTCGAGTGATACACAGTAGCATTCCTCTTAAAACTACTAAAGCCTAACTGCGGTTGCCAAACCACCTGCCAAGCGTAACAATTACTGCCAAAAACCTTCCAAAGGGGAGATCTGTATTAAATAGTGTACAGTGGATATGATTAAGTTGACGATGGAAGCCAAAACATTTTTGTACTTGTGTGTGTGTAATTATGGACATCACAGTGTGGTACTTGAATGAAGTACTTTATCAAGTATTAAGTACATGTTTGTTATCTCAATAGCATCATTTATTATGTCCAATATTTTATATTATAAACAGATGATATTTTCAAAAGAATCGATCATTTTCTATTTTCTTTATTATAATTATATTGAATATCTGCGACTCGCATCTATATCTATAAGCTTAACCCTTCTATGCATGATTTTTTCTATCGGTAAAATAAATCAAGGTGATATAATTCATGTTCAATATTAAAGGAAAAATGGTTATAAAAATAAATTTGACAGGTATGTTTTTTTTTCTGAAATGGACATTAAAAAGGTATCCAGACACGATCAACTTAAAATTAAATTGTTCTTTTTTATAATTTTATGGCATTCAATGTTATGATGTAAATTTCTACCATTATGCAAAGAAGGGTTAAGGCTGATATTAGAAGAATGGAGATTAAAAAAGTAATAGATAATAGAGTAATAATAATAAAAAAATCTGTAAACGTTCCAACCTTTATGTTTACAAATGTAATATTACGTACATATTCATTTAAAGTTTTCAGGAAGCCATCGTACTCCCATAACATCGTTAGGACGACAATAGGCTCCTCTCACGCCGGAAAAAGCTGCCAAGCGCTTTCCAACGTAAACACGATTCCATGGAGAGCAGTACATTTCATCTCCTAATATAGTATATACACATATATACATGGTGTAAGCAAAGTCCTCGGCCGCACATAAAACTTAGAATCTATTAATACTATATAATATCATCATCATCATTTTAGCCGTTAACTGTCCACTGCAGAACATAAACCTTCTCCATAAGGAGTGTTTTGCCAGTAGTTGCCACGCTTGGCAGACGGGTTGTCAAACATACTCGTAGTTAAACTTTCAGAGATGTTTTAAGATGGACGCTACTGTCCATCTTTCGACCATTAAGTTCCCTTAGTCGCCTTTTATGACATCCATGGGAAAGGAAAGGGTGGCCAATTCTATATCGGGATCACACGGCGTATATAGTAATATTGGAACATAATTTTCTTAAATAAAAATAAATAAAAGGAAAAATTGTTTTAAGCATCGCATACAAAATTTACAGTTGGACGCACCGTATTATTATCGGGGGCTCCAGATTTTTATCGTATTTTCAGGCACTTTCCTTTGAGAGAAATTATTTCATTCATTCATTGGTACAACACTCACTTTAAAATATACTAATGATTTTTTATGTGTATAATTTACAATTCAAACAAGTATGATTTTCTATACAAATATGCTTAGAACCGTTTCTTCTATCTGTCTGTGGAATATATAAGGTATACGTATGAGCAATGGACAATTAATAACGTTAAAAAAGATGTTTCAAAGAATAAGAATAAGTAAGATAACTAATGTTTGTCATTTATGCGCAAGTGTATCCAAATATACCAATTTTAAAGCGTTAATCCGTCGTTTCCAAATTCTCACGCGCTTGATAGATAGATAATTTATTTACATTACTTACAGCGCACAAATAACAATAGACATAGACATGCACAGTGAAAAAAGATAAAGGAATACTTACACAAAAAAATAAAAAGTAAAATGCATAGAAGAAGTAAAAATTTACCCGTCATGCGTGTGCCACAGTATCACAAAATGCTCACAACTCAATAAGCTGAGTAAGCTTTGCTCACAAAACAGCAATACACTAATATTCTTTTGTGGTTAAAAAGCCAGCTGCGGAATTCCTTACAAAAATATATAAAAAAAAAGAAATATAGATAAATATATTATGTGTGTTTATTACATTCTCTATTGCTTAATATTTTATTCTAATTAATAAATAAATGGCAAATACCATTAGAAGAATGAATGAATGGTTTATTTTCTCTCCACAAAAGGTAGTATAAAGTGACAACTTGAGGTACAAATTGATATGAAGACAAATTTTGTGAGACACTGATGCTTGCGGTAGGTTTTGAAGAACCTGTGTTATATGTCACCAGTGCCCCATCTCCATGGACTACACAAATACAAGGCAACCAATTAGTGTTATAATACACAGATAACAATAATGAGATATAAAAAGAAGAAGGGTAGTCAAATGTTATTTTCTATCAATTTCAAGCACTCAAGTGATAATTACTAACTCCATAATATTGGGGGGAAAGGGATTGTTAGTAATGGAAACTAAAAATCCCATTGCTAGCAATATACCCAACCAGGTCGACCTCCTCTTGGTTCCCCCTGGAAACTATTATGGTTAATTCCTGGTAAATTCATCATGATGGGCTAACTGGCCTGTTTTCATTCTCATTGATCACCCTTCACTGGTGCTCCGCCAGCGTATCCCGTTAATGCAGGCGGAATTACCATTCCATGTTCATCCACTAAAAAAACTCCATAATATTACATATCACTCTTTGATAAATGAATGAAAACTTTCCCCCAAAGGACGACATAGATTACAAAGATTAACAATATGTACATAAAATGAATATTTAAATTCCACAAACCCAATTACATAAAAGCAAGTTAAAGAGGCAACAATGGGCAGCCCCATCGCCAAACAGCGATCCCTTTCAGGAAACCCAAGGATGGAGAGAATTAAATTGTCTGGTCAAGGTGTAATAGAAAAATAATAAGACTAAAAGATGGGAGAGAAAATGGTTAAATATTAATTTAAACGCAGTATAAACAATATAAATAAAAATATACTTATACATAATAATAATAAAAATTTTTGATATACTAACAAAAATATACGCAAATAAATAATACATACATATATATGAATATGCATATATAGTTGTACTAAGCACTACAACGGAGATTAATAAACATGCACTATACAAAGGGACAGCCTCCGCCACTAATAGCAACGCGATTTTTATTTTACTAGTAGCAATTCCTTTTTCCTATTATTGTATAATAAACGATTGTATCGCAAAAATTAATCTCAGAATATAAAATACTATTACATCAATCAATTTTTTTTAAAGCTTTAGAGATGATTTAAAAATGAGTATGATGAAGCTGTAAAATGTAAAAGAGATTCGCACGACCCATGCCCGGGATAAAATTATTTTTATTTTATTACACTCGCTTTTCCTTTAACAACGTGGGCTAGTAGGTAGATTTATTTATGAAAATGCGAAAAATAAATTGTCATTCTTTTAATATTTAACGCGCAAACACCGACGAAAATAAAATTCGGTTAACGAAGACTATTTTTTTATAAAAAGAAATTTGGGGGTTTTGCGACAAATTTCAATGAAATAACTAAAAAAATT